GGATTTCGATGATTTTAGGATAGTGAAGGAAATATTAAAATACTAGCGTGTGCAAAATTTTAGTAAAATATCTTCAAAACTGAGTTTTTTTATATAATAGTTAAAATTTAAGCAAAGTTTCAAGTACCGCTATCTCCAAAAGTGGAGCCAATCGGGAAAAACTGAGGACGCCATTGAATTTAGAAGACTCCAATTAAGCAACTATCAGAACCTTTGTCGAAAAAATTTTGAGTTGATACTACTACTACTACTACTACTCATCGGGTACAATTGGGCATTCAGTTAATTCCATATAAAGAGATCAAAAGTGGTAATAGTCGCATGCTCCTTTGCGATTGCTCCCGGAGTCATCCCGGATTAGTCCCATTTTTTGCAAGGACTAGATTGGCGCCGACAAATATGTTAGTGTTTGGCCGAGCTTCTCCTCCGATTTGTGGCGTGCGCCCCGATGTTGTCACACAAAGCGGAGGGACCTACAGTTTTACGCCGACTTCGAACGGCGATTGTATTTTTATGAGAAGCTGTTTTTCATGGCAGAAATACACTCGGAGGTTTGCCATTGCCTACCGAGGGGCGACCGCTGCTAAGAGAAGACCCCTTTTTCTACATTTTTTTGCGTTGTTGCTTTGACCAGGGCTTGAACCCAGGCCCTGCGGAGTGGAAGCGCGCACTGCTTACCACTACATCACAGCGGCAGTGTATGTGCACTGGCGGCAAAAAATATCACCTTAATCGCACAGCGCCATATTCCGTACAGCGCGCATGGCCTACTCGAATATTTTATGCATAATATTCTCGAATTGAGATTAGAAGGGAATAGTTTCCAACAATTAACTGTTTTAGGACAATCCACTCTCGAAAAGTTAAAAAAATAAAATCCATCACTAAATTTTTATTAACATTCAAAATAATGACGTTAGAAAAATAGTCGTAAACAAAAAATTTAGATTTTTTTTCGGCCGACAAACAAGTCTATGAATTTTTCGAAAAAAAATTAACGGTATCGATGTAAATTGCGAAAAACGTTTACAACCTTCTTTGTTGTTGTTGTTGTAGCGGCTACAACAACCCCGCCCAGATCGGTTGATATCTCAGTCGTTGTCGTCAAGTTCCACTAACGACAGCCCTAGGAAGCGTGCAGCCTCCACCGGGTCGGTCCACAGGGACAAAGCCGTTAGGGTTGTCGGGTTTTCCGGGCATGCGAAGAGATGTTTCGAGTCATGAGGGGTCTCTCCGCATGTCGGACACTCATTTGGCACATCCGCAATCAGTCTGCTCAGGTATGAGTTTAACCTGCTGCAGTAGCCAGAGCGAAGTTTGGGCTATTGTGGTTCTTGTCTCGCGAGGCAGATGAGGCTCCGTCACGTCTATGTCCGGTGGTTGTGTGCCTAGAACGGCATTCACAGGTCTAGAGTCTACATAACTCGAGACTGACTCCCTATGAATGCCGTTCAGGGCCAGTCGGTAAGCTGACGGGTCCAGAGGCTGCTTGATGAAGCTCTGGACTTCGTTCGTCAGTTCGTATAGATGCCTCCTGACGTGCCTAGGTGAGGGCTTCTCTGCACGCAGCTGTCTGTTTGGGTGGCCACATCTGTGGCTCCCAGTCAGAAACTGCTTGCAGAGCATTGTTATGCTCCTTGATTGGGAGCATTCTTACCTCGCTATGAAGGTGCTGTTCTGGCGACATCAGGAGGCATCCAGTCGCAGTCCTGAGTGCGGTGTTCTGTACTGTCTGTAGCTTCATCCACTGCGGCCTACTAGTCCCCGGCGACCACACTGGTGCTGCGTAGTTTAAAACCGGCCGGCCTATTGCCTTGTATGTTGCTAGCAACGTTTCTTTGTCATTGCCCCAAGTACTGTCGGCTAGCGTACAACCTTTCCAAAATGGCGGCGATTCCACAACCCCTCGAGACCGGCAAATCTATTTTTAACATCTCAGCAATAATCAAAACGATTTATGGACCTTACCACAAATAGCCACCGTTTTGCTATTTCACTGTACCAATTAATTAAATTAATTTCTGCTTAGGTTTTGATTGTGGTGTTTAAAATTGGTGTTTGTGATATTAATAATCTAAATTTCAAATCGCGACTGAATTTCTTTGAATAGAGACCTCTAATTTTAGTATTTATTTGAAAAAAAAACTCAATAAAATCAGCCTGCAGCACCATCTAGCGCAAAGCTTATGATAAACAAATTCTTCGTATCCAAATACCAATTAAACAATAAATTGTGTGCAAGGATTCAACTAAGGATATATTCCTTATTTGAGTTAAACTCCGAAAAGCTATTAACGTAGAATTAGGTGTGTATAGTAACTTCTCCAGTAAAAAAGTGCAGCGAGAGCGTAAAAGCAAAATAGAGCGTAAAACTGAGAAGTTAAACTAGCAGATAAGGTTGAACACAAAACTAGTAAAAACTTTCAAGTGAACAGTTGTTGCACTGTTTTGACATTCTACTGTTAACATTTTACTATATACAGGTCTAATCTGCACTGGTAATAAAAAGTTTGTAAACGGTAAATAAAGTTCTGTCAATTTTTAAACCCTTTTCGCATTCTGTGTACTCTTGTAACCGGTAAATTTTGTTACCATCTCATAAGCTGGTAACAAATTATTACCCCGTGAAATATGCAACGCCAGGATTTGCACAATTCTTTATAGCTGAATTGCTGAATATTTTAACTGCATTACAAACGTATCTGGAATTGCGGTGACAAGAACTGGTAATATTTTTTGGTAATACAATTTTCCGGTTACAAAATCTTCGGTAACGTGCAGAATAGACCTGTTATAAATCAGTTTTAAACTCTTTGCTTTACACACAAGCACATAAACAGTCCAGTACATCATTAATATTTTGATTTCCACTCATTTTACTTTTGTTTACGCTTAACCAATCCAACTAACTAATGGCCGCTTTTGACATTGATCTGTCTTCTTCTTTTGCTGGCTAATTTCTGCTAGTAAAAATTTCACTTGCAAGAATTTGCAGCTATCCCGTGGTATTACGCTCTCGATTCAGGGCTCCCTTGCAAATTTTTTGGGTTATTATACACTTTTCCAGTAAAAGTTTGCAGGTTCCAGTACAAATTAGTACTGACTATTTGTTACTATACAAACCTATTATTGACATCTAAAGCTATCACTTGCAATTGGTTTTACTCAATACCGATTTGAGCTGTCGCACAGTGTAATATACAAAATTATTTAAAAAGTTAAATTTTTTGGGAAAACAAAATCAAAGCATTCGCCATTTTTGGGAAATTTAGTCATCTATTCTGGTCTGATTATGCATACTTCGCACAACTTCGCATAAACTCCAAACTGTCAGGTGAAAATCTGTTGAATGCAATTTGTATGTACTCCATTACCCAGAAATTAGCAGAACTTGTAAAAAATTAGCGATACGTTGAGTTTAGATTTTGCCTCACGTTTTCTTAAGTTGCATTTGAATTGCAGTGGTACCAATAGCAATATTTTTACAGAGATGCATGGAAAGCATATTAGGGGATTTCACAACTCTATGAATGTAATTTTGGGAACAAGTAGAGAATAGGGCCCGTTGAGCTAAAAACACTAAAAGTGAACATGGCCGGCGGGCCATGATTTTAATGGAATACATTAGGGGTATTCTCCAAATCTCGCAAAGCCATTGCAAGTAGCACGGATTGCATAACTTGCAAACACAAAACAACAAAATACATGGGAAACAATATTTCCTATCGCTGCAAAATATGCAACGTCGAAACCATGTATATTGCAAAATAGCATAGCATGATAAATGCGACCCTGTGCTAGTTGTTTTGTTGTTGGAATTGCTACATATTTCTCTCATTTCTCTCATCTCGCTCACTTCATTTCTTTTTGCTGTCTCTTGTTTTTGTATCTGATACATAATTTCGCTGGGGTGCTCTCGTACTCTTCGAAATTTGGAATAGTATTTTTGCATTTCGTGCAATCCGTGCATCGTGCAAGACTTCGAGAATACCCCTATTCTCTTTTGTGCAAATTCATAGGAGCGGAATTCGTGGAATTTTCAATATTTTCAAAAGCTTATATTTCGAAAAATTTTGAACCAATTTTCAAAATATTGATATGGTTGGAAAGGTAAAGGTATTTTGATTTAATATGCGTATATTACATGTATATATAAATTATGGCATTTTTTTTAATAAGAATTTGTTTTTCTTAAAAAAATACGCAACTCACTATATTAAAAGATATGCACAAGATAAGAAAGAGCAAAAACACCTTTAAATATATGATTTATAATAAAAAACCTTTGGTAATATCACTAAATACTAAAATATGATTTTATATCTTAAAAGAAAAAAAGCTCTGCAGGCGAACATTTGGAAGAAAATATCGCGCTATTTTTTATTCAAAATTTTCATTTTATATTAAAATATCAATACAGTTATTTTATTTCGCAGTTGGCATTTAACCTTAGCCCTTAAACCTAGCTATATAAAATTAACATATCAAATGAAAGGTATTTTTATGCTCTTTCTGGTAAATATATCGTTGAATACATATAGTTATTACGTATTTTCTTAATAAAACATACGTATTTTATTTACATATTTTTACAGATATTGTATTGAAAATTATGTCAAACTGCAAAGAAATTGAGTGTCGATTTAATTTGGACTATACCACCTTAAAACCACTTAAATTAATTTTTCTATAAACAAATCTATTTACCTAAAGAAACCACAAATCAGCTGTTTTTGCTCACACACCGTGAATAACCCTATTGCGTCGATGCATAACGTTGATAGTACTAATAAATTTGGTTGCATGCGAAGCATAATCAGCCTTAAGTTTTGTAAAGTTGCGTTACGTTTAAGAAGTTGTGCGAAGTAATGCGAAGTATGCATAATCCCACCTTTAGGCTGAACATATTCTTCTTATCAAGCTTATTAATTGTATTAAAAATCTCAAAAAACGTAAATTTTACATCTCTGTGTTATTAAACGTGGGATATATATTCTCACCATCATTTTCGATGTTGCTCTGCGCTTCGTCTAATACTTGTTGCGTATGCTCTTCAGCGATTCGCCGAATGTTGTCTAAATCGCAACTTGTGTGAAATTGCGAAATATCATTTGGCGTGGGTGGCGGCGTTTTAGTGGTTGCTGCATGTTCTGTAAAAATACAGATCAATTTAAGGGAACTAGAGAATTTTATACAACTTACTTCTTGTATACACGTTATTATCTACTGCAGCTGCCACTAAATTGCAATTTTCATTGCTTTCCTCAATTTCAATTTCAGTTCTTTGTACTCCCCTCAGAAGAGAATCATGCAAGACAGAGCTATCATTGGTAGCTGTTGGGGCTTTTTTACTCTCATCATACAGCATTTCAGCGCTTTTATTTAAGTGTATTCCTAGCTCATTAAACTCAGATTCGTCCAGCTGAGTTTTGGCCATGCTTCTCTCCAAGTCATCTTTTACAGGTTCTATATTAAATATGCATCTCTTGACAATGTCACTTCTATTTATATTGTGTAGTGCACGTTCTAAGGTGTTGCTCGTTGCCGTGGGTCCTTGTTGACGAAGCGAAAGACGTAGCATCACCATAGCCTTTTGAGACGGCCGCTCGTTGTATTCCGCATTAATAATCTCGATATCGGTCTCGGGTACACCCAATTCTTTGGCCAAGCGCATCCAGTCGCCTTCGATCATGTTACATATGTCCGATAAACGAATATCGGCTCTGTGGATAATGTCGCCGCCATCCGGCTGAAGTTGCAATGTAGCCACCTGAACAATTTCCGACTCTTTGTCATCTACTACTGCTTCTGCTGCAATAATGGGCTTCACTGCTGTTGACTTAAAACCAGCATTTAACAAATCCCTATAATTAAGACCACGGTCGATTTTTATATTGTTCAAACATTTTTGACTGCCATCCAAAAAGTTTGCGTTTTCGACAATGTCACATCCTTCTAATGATATGTTTAATACACAAATGGGTTGTTGTGGTGGTTCACTTATGCCCATTTTTCGTTCGCTCATAAAGCTTATACGACCATAAGGCTCCTCCTGATCTTTGACATGCACAATGAAGGACAGTCGGTTCTCACGGAAAGCATGAAATTTAAGATTAAACTGCTCGCCTGATTTTAGCACTGGTACCAAATTGCCTGCAAATTCCAAATAAATATCTTGGTCTTCGAGTACTTCAACATCTCGGCTCTTCGCTATCTCAGTGAAATACTCTTGTTGCTCCAAAGTTTTATCTTCTTTATCGTCAGTCATACAGAAGACGGAAAGCTTGGCTTCTGTCGTGGAAATTCGTTTGGCAAAAATAACAAATTTCACCATAAATGGAACTTGAGTCATATATGCATATAGTTCGGTGGCCATACGGCTGGCATCGGCGATATTGCGACAGTCCATTAGCCAAAAACGTGCAGACACTGTTGTCGTGAATGTGACACTATCCTTTACAAAAGCGAAAGGCGTTGAGCCAGTAACATCTTCCCAGACGGCGCGATTTTGCCCCCCGGTTATTGAGCACAAAAGGCGCAGCGTCGGAGCATTACCCGTGTATGGTGAATTTACCATGCCTTGCGTGGATGCCCTTGGTGCTGGTATACTAAGCGTAATGGCTTTATGAAATTTGCGACGGCGTGGCTCAACGGTAACTACCGGCGACACGGCCACACCCTGGCCGAGAAGCTTGCAGCAACCGTTCAGATCAACTGGCTGTGCCTGAAGACCGACACGAATCTTCTTTGTGAGTGCATGTGGCGGAAAAATGGCCTGCACTTGCGGCACCGCTTGTGACGAGACGGTGCCACCTTCAGGGCCAATAGCATGCACCTCCTGACGAATACGGGATACTACAGCAAAGAAATGGGGAAAATTGCGCGTCAAAACGCGTACTATGCGATTAGTGTGTAAGTCTTCCAACGGATTAAGGCCACCATTGAAGGTATCGTGCAAAACATCTAGCATTGCCTCATCACTATCGTATAAAGTATGCTCTCGCCAACTATCTCCATTGTCGGAGCGCAAAATTATGATTTCACGTTCCTTATCACGCAAAGAACCGAAATGCGGCACCTCTAACACAACTGGACTGAAAATAATAATTTAATGAAGCGTATTAAGGCATAGTACGTAATATAAAAAATTTTAAGCATTTCCCAAACCCAAAATTACTTATCTTACCCTAAAAATTTGGCCTCCACTGGAGATAATTCCATTATCCGGCTAACCAAAGCTTCACCTTCCATCAAAGGTGGCGGGTTATGAACTCGTTGCGGCTTTACATAACGGCACGTGATACGCGTTGGTTGCGAACAAGCCTTCGGTGGCACAATTACACGAACGCCGCTGTGGCGGCAACCACGCATTGAACCGCCACGTGCATCCACCAAAAACGACACAAGGAAGCTGCATTTTCCAAAAACAAACGCAGAAAGTATGGAGATAAGCGAATACAAGCTTGTCAAATGATGATTCATATTTTTGTATACCTACCCCAGATGAATAGGTGGACGAGTTATCGCAACGTTGTCGATCTGCTTTATCGGGTATTGGTTTGAAGAAGCCGAAAAATCATGGACTTTACAGAATATAAAGGAAGAGAAAAAATTACAATTAAGCGGAAGAATTTATAAACCATACCGGATTTCGCTAAACCCTCTGCGACTGACGTGGTAGTCTGACAGACACCGAAGGTTCCACAGTTTTCCGGGCTTCAATAACATTGATTACTAAAAACGCCTATTTTTCGACATATAGTGTATTTATATGACTATTTCATTAATGAATACTTAAAATACTTAAAATATTTACAGAATTTTCAGTTTAAATCGAAAAAACTTTATTAATAAATAGATATGGAGTGGAAATAGATAGATATGGAGCAGAGACCCAAAATAATTATTATCCTAATATTTGAGCTCACGAACGTCGCCTTGTTTTAAGAGTAAATTTTCGTCTTTGTATAATCCCTATTTATGAGAAATATTTTTTTTCGTCTCGCGGGAGGATTATTTTCAGATGGAAGTTATATACGTCTTCTCATAATAATTATGTAGGATTCTAATTTTTCTCATGTCGCGGGACGTTTGTTTCAAGACGGAAATGATTTACGTCTTCTCTTAACAATTATATGGCACTTTTATTTTTTTTCGTCTCGTGAAACGTTTATTTTAAGACGGAAAGAATTTACGTCGTTTCATAATTTTTATATGGCACTTATTTTTCTCGTCTCTCGGGACGTTTATTTCAAGACGGAAACCATTTACGTGTTCTCATAATAATTATGTGGAACTTTTATTTTTCTTCGTCTCTCGGGACGTTTATTTCAAGACGGAAATGATTTCCATCGTAAAATAATCCTCCCGTTAGACGAAAAAATAAAAGTCCCAGCTAATTACTAGGAGAAGATGAAAAAGTTTTTAGTGTAACGTAATAATTATACAGCAACATTTAATTTTATTTCTTATAATCGTTATGGTCTGTGAAATAATTTTCGATAAAATTTAAATGATTTATTATACGCAGTGCCGATGCGTTTCTGTTGCAATTTAATAGCCTATTTCCACCAAAATCTTAACTGCAGTTAAAAGCTCAGGTAAATTCAAGGAACGTTAACATGGGGTGATAAGCAAAGTTTATTTCTTACTTTTTGCTTTCGATTGCTTGTACTAAATATGAGCAATTACCTCCTTCGAGTTGCAATCTTCTTTTTCCAAGAGGCATTAACTGCAGTTAAGGCCTTGTGGAAATAACTCTAAGCGTATACATATGTACTAAGTACATATACATACATGTGTTAAAAGGAATAAGGGTGTTATGCTAATCCAGTTTCAGTTGAATTTATAAACTTTCATGATGCGTTGATAAAAATGCCTTCACAGTGGATATTTGCATGAAATCATTTGCAAATCAAAGAGTTTAAATATTATAGCCCGTATCTCGTGGTTATCTGATAAAGCGCGCTTTTGTAAAAAGCAAAATTTTAATTTGAAATCCGATTTAAAAATCTATTCCTTTATCAAACATCTTCAATTAGGCTTTAGGTAAAAAGGAGAGTAACAGAGTTACCATAATGAAATAAAAATATTGATTAAGCGTAAAATATTAAAAACACTATATTAATTTTACAACAACTTTTAGGAGACAAAGGCATTTTAACTTGACAATAAAAAAGGTTAGTGCCGTTTTTTTTTTAATAAATATAAATATAAAGAGAAATTCTTTCAAGTTTCGGATAGTCGCGTCTTGTAGGGATACATATGTATGTAGATTACATATGACGCCGGAAGAGCTCATTTAGCACACATATTATTTACCTTTTTCACTATAAAAACTGTTACGTCCAGCAGTCAATTGCGTATGATGCACTTGTTGAACTTGCTTTTGCTGGTGATGATCGATGTGGTCGTCATTGTTGGTCGTGTCGTAGTTTTGATGATCCTGCTCGGATGCTTTTAAGTCATCAGTCGCCATGTATTTGTACTGTTGATGATCTATGTGTTCGTCACCACCTTCGTCTTCAGAATCGGACATAAATGTTTCATGCATCAATTCAGGCGCAACAACTTTATATTTCTCTTCCAACACGCCTGTTATGATATTCATAACTGATTTTTCGGTAACCACCTTCAGCGTTTCCACAGCAGTGACGTATCCTAAATTATTGGCGATGCTCAAAGCAGTTTGACCATTCTATTTTATAGGAGTTAAACGACGAAGTAGTATAAAATTAATACACTGTTATAAAAATATATTTCACATAATTTTAGCTGGCGCATTTAAAAAAAATGTACGTAAAGAAAAGAACCAGCGATCAGAGAAAGTATGTATACACCGCTGAGTCAGTTATGTTCAAGGAAATATACAAAATACATATATACAGAGCAAAAAAAGAATGATAATAAACAAAAGACTCGATGAGGTGTCAGAGGCGTAAAAACGCGAGTTTGATGAAAAAAAAACGAAACTAGTAGGTGTGTCACTGTATCCCACTCGACCTAAGTGCCAATTGAATTTCCTTATTTACTTAGTTTTTTTGTTTTTTTTTTTTTTGAAAATGCGCATGTACATACTAGAACTTATTTTTAGCATAAAACCGAAACTTTCAATCGCAGCGCTACATATGTATATATTTAAAATTTCCTTCCAGAAATATGTGTTAACATAAATACACATGTACAAATATACAAACAAGTGCACGTCAGAAAGGTGCGTACGTGTATATGTATGTATATCTGCATAGGCCTATACATATGCATGTATGTATGTACAAAGTACTTGAATGTGTCTGTATATATTTTGCTCCACTTATAAACACGTACGTAAACAATGGTGTAGGGAACAAATATGGGTATTGTACTGTTATTCCGCTCTTAGTGAATTTGACAGAATCGCTGTTTGTATGACAACACTCTTGTGCAACTTTTTTACGTTTTTCTTGCAAAATTTCTGCTTCTTCTGGCATTCTTATTCGAATTTTCACATTTCTCTCGCACAACTGATCCAGCGTGACACAAAAATTATTCTCACAAAACCTCTCTGATGGGCGCAATCTTGTATTCTGTCGTTCTTGACAACGATGTAAAGAACATTCCTGTACATAAACTATATAATCATGTTCAGTAATATTCCTAGTTTGAACTATGAAAAAGGAGCATTTTAAATCACGTTCACATTACATCGTAAATTACTTCATAGAAATCAAGTGCGTTCACACTAGAGGTTTACGCCGACAGGCCTTGCGGTGGCGGCGTGGTCAACTTCAAAAAGAATCGGCGGCGGCGGCGACGCCGCACAGTGGGACGTCCCCATATAAGCTGCGGCCAAAAGTAGTAACCGTACTAAAAATTCGCTGAAATTTCGTATATGGGCTGTTCGGCACTTAGGAATGATGAACTGTGGAAAATTGTAAAATTCAACGCGCTACCACGCCCACAACTCTTGTGGGCGGAAATAGTAAATGTTATCCGATTTTGATGAACTTCAGAGCATATGCTGGTTTTAATGAGAAAAGCTTAAATCTGAAAGATCGTCAAAATCGGTTTACATTATCGCCCAGTAATTCTAGAAAAACAGGCGCAATTAAAAAAAAAATTTTTTTTATGATATTCGGTGTGCCCTGCTCGTTTAAGCCTAAATTTTCCAACTTGGAACATAATAAAGAGCTTCTTATTACGGCGCTCACCTCCTACTCAGCTTTTTTGACTCCAAGTACTAAATTGTATGGATTTTGGAGAAAATGAACAGGCACATTTATTTTATTTCTAAAGAATTTCCTATTTCTTCATTTTAAAAATGACAAAGCGAAAACATTTACAATACCTGCAAATTAAATTATGTGCACGATTTGTATTTACACTGAAACTTTAAATTTTACCTACATTTTATACAACAAAAGCTGAGCTAAGGCAAGCAGGACTCTTGTCATCGAAAACGGATCCCGTCCAGAGAAACGTCCATTTTTGGCTGAACGTTGATTGGGAGTAATAGATTGGCGAGTCATTAATATCTAAACCTTCTTTAATCTCCACTTTATATTGCATATCTTTCATTTTATGTACATATCAGAGTTTTTCCTTTTTGCTCTACAATAAAAATTCAATAAATTTTACAGGAGATGGGTCTATAAAAGGAAGAATAGAAGCTGAACTCGCAGTTCCTCGCAGCTGGAACTATTTGAGATATGACACACATATTTAATGTTTACTTGTCCTAAGTATAATTTAGCTCGCCTCCTAGGTCCTTTTTAAATATCCCTTTTTAAATTAAGCACTCGAAAAATTTTACACTCACAAAATTATGTCGAATTTTAAGGTAAACTGTTTTATACATTTCAAAAGATGTATAAAAATTTAAAGCAATGTTTGACCACAGATATATTCAAAAACTGCTCATCAATCAGATTGGCTTTTTATATATCCGCACAAGTGGAAAAATTAATTCAATTACTTGCGACAAAATGAAAATCTTTTCTAACAAATATATTTTTTCGCATTGCTCCTACTTTAAGCTCGTATCATGATTGCAAATATGCATTTTCATCCAAAATTCTTTTTGGTTTGGGTTAGCTGGATATTTTGCTATGCATCTGCGTAATTATTTTTCATGCCAATTCAGATTATAATTCTATTTAATTTATTCATTGAACTAGTTTTAAATTTAAATTACGTTACTTCCTACTCGAATTAAAATGTTGAGTGCCTGGCGCTGATGGATGGGCGAACAGAAGAAGGTCTGAGGTATATACATTAGGGCGGGTCAATTTTTTTTCGACATCGTTCCTAGCAGATTTCGATTCTACATAAAATTCTAAGAAAAAAAGTCCTTTAGACCATAGCTCTAGAATCAATTTCGAGCCTGCGCAATTTTAAAAGAAAATATCTTTAATTAATACTAAGTCAATAATCAGATTAATATTTACTAAAGTGTTACGAATGTTTTTTTTTTTTAAATAAAACTGGTGCTCCGGAGTTTTGTGATATAAACAATTCATTTCTGATATCTATTTTTTTATTCAAAGAACCGTAAGATGGCGCTTCAAAGCAAATTCTACTATATATTTGTGGAAGTATGCATGTATGTATGTGCCAGGTTGTAGCCTAACGGATGGACAGAATCGAATAAAATTTTTCCAGAGTATTGCCATGACTCCTGGACCTATAATAGGGTAAAAAAATGCGGACTCGCCAAGAGGTTGGAGGGGAGGGGTGGCGATGGGTTGCACATCCCATAGTGAAAATTTTTAATCAGCTCTAACTTCGGAGTTATACGTCACATGAACTCGAAATTTGAAAGGCACAGATACCTATGGTAGGTGCTTATAGAAAGATATATGTATATAAATGAGTTTGTAAAAGGGGGTGTGGCACATCTCATAGGTGTGGAATCTTTTATCAGCTATAACAGCTATTAGTGATTTCATTGAATTGAATTTTGAAGATTTGTTATAATTTATCAAAGTGAAATTCAAATAAATTATAGTATGAAGTTCACCGGGTCATCTTCTAGTCTTTAATATATACTAAGTTAATATACGGAATATTTACTAAAGTGTTACGAACGTTATTTTTTTAATACAATAAGAAGAAGAAAAAACTATAATTTAAAGGAGTGACTCACAATGGCTAGAGTCGTCGCATGTGTGTATTCTTTCATATACATATATATGGGCCGTTCTTAGCGTTATATATTTTTCATCCACTCCCTTATTCCTTATCTAAAATTTTAAATAAAAAATTACAAGTTTTAACCGCTGATACAGTACAGGTAGCAGTTTAAGATAGGTAACTGGATAAACTTAATAAAGAAAACATATTCTCTGGTTAAATTAATAACCCTGCCCGGATAACACAAAATCCTATGCTTGATAAACATTTGGTGTTATAAAAGTTTTATAAAGCTCTACTTGTAATTAGGAAAAATGCCGAAAAAATATAAAATTGATTGATAGATAAAAATAGAGAGGGAGTTATGGCTATGACAATAGAATGCAGAAAAATGATACCTCGAATTGAAAGCAAAACGGATCTAAAACCAAAAGAACTATAAATATATTGTTAATCATAAAAAAATTTATGATTCGAATAATAATTTTGAAATATTGTAAAATTGTTTTTTTTTTGGTTTTTTAAAGTTAGTTTTTTTTTTACTTTGTAACGAACAAAAGTATTGGCACAGTGAATTTTTCGTAATGTAGGCAAAGTTTCTACTTTATTTCCGATAATTTTTTATAAAAAAATAGTTCATTCTACACCAAAACACATAAAAATCATATGTGTAAACTTTGTGAAAAACTCGGGAAAATTCAACTTGCACTTTATTATACTAAAATAAAATTTTTTTAGAGTCTAATTAAAAAGTTTGCCATTGCAGAATTTTTTTAATTTTTGTAAAAAGTTTGATCCAAACCCAGAGATCTACCACATTTTTCTGAAATCTAGCACATTTTTTCCAGATTGTACCACACAGAATTTTTTTGAAGTCCGATCACTGCTACTAAGTCAACGCGCTGCTCAGTCATACAAAGCAGCAGTATTGAGTATGCAATAGTTGGCGTTCAACGCAAGCCAGTCTCTGGTAGGTGGCAGGCCTATAGGAAATATTTCTTAATCAATAAAGTTTCAAATACTTTTCGTTTGACAACTATATTATAATACATACTTTATCTTGTTAACTTAATTGAAACAAATTTTCGAAATTGGTGGCAACCCGACTCAAGAATATTTTCAGTAGTAAGCTTTCTTAAACCTTTTTAATTTGATACCCATATTGCAATATTTAATTTATCTTACCAATTTAATTTAATTAAATTTTGAAAGAGGTGGCAACCCCTCTCAAAAATATTTTCGCCTGTAAGTCTTCATAACCTCTTTCTTTTGACACCCATATTGTAATATCTAATTTATCTCATTAATTTACTTATACTGAAATTTTTAAACAGGTGGCAACTCTCTATTTTTTCTGGTTTTAACCATCCGGATATTATAAAAAGCAAACCAAAAAAATAAAAATATTCAAATCGGTCAAGCCGTTTTCGAGTCTTACCGAGACTAACGGAAAGAAATTCACTTTTATATATAAGATATCTTCTTTTAAAAATGCGCAGGCTCGAAATTGACTCTAGTGCTATGGTCTGGAGAAATTTTTTTCTTAGAATTGTATGAAGAATCCGAATATGCTAGGAACGATGTCGAAAAAAATTGATCCATACAAATTGACCCGCCCTAATATACATACATACACACATGGCTCTGTATGTTCTCTACACCCTGCAGGAAATGTATCTAACTATAAGCTAACTTTAAGTTGATTAGGAAGGAGCTAAAAGTCACTTATTATCTGTATATTTTCTTTGACGAAAGCTAACTATATTTCCATGGCGATGGCCGCGAAATAGTCAAGGGTGGTTTACCTCTGCATTAGATGTAACAAACTTGTAACTAGCTACTTTTGGACATAAAATATCAATAGAAAAAACAAAATATATTTTTTTTATTTTATTTTTTATTGTTATTTACTTTAATACATTTCATATTTGTTTTCATATACTGCTGTAGGTGGTCCCATATTCGAACTCCGTCAGACATAACTTCAAAATGATAATATGAAATTTCGATCTTCCTTTTATTTGTCCTCAACGCGTTTGTTCAAACGCATTTAAAGAAAACAATCTCCTTCATTACACCTGCATTACTTGTCAACTATGTAGTTTCAAGCTAGCTTTTTGTAGCTAACTACAAGTTATATATTTTATAGAAATCCCGCAAAAAAGCTAACTACAACTGTGTTATTTGTTATCAATTGATAATTTTTTTCTGCAGGATAGATCCGTATGTACTATTTAAATTTAAAGAAATTAAAAATTTTAAAAGTTAGGTTATTGGGATAATTTATGCCGCTGTCAATAAATTTTTGCAATAATCTTATCAACCGTTATGTTAAATTACGGAGTTCTTACGATTTTTTGCGGATTACATATTGAAAACAAGGTTGGTCTACTTTTTTCCAAAAGCTTAACACATCAACTCGAACCAGAACGTGTATTTTTGACCCACTGTTTAAAAAAAATGGCTTATAGATGGTTAAAATTTCCACTAAAATATTAAGCGCCAAATTTTTCTAAGGAGAACCGAATGTAATGAAAAATAATATTAGTTTTTACCAAAAAGGGAGAACTTTAACCCTTTGTTCAAAACGTTGCGATGCAAGGGAGCAAAACCTTCAAAAACGTAATTTTCACACAGCCACCTAGTACTTGTATACGTATGTGTAATTGTTATAAGGCCATAAAAATAACAAAAACAAATAACTTAAGGACGAGCACACCTAAAAGTTAAACATTCTAATAATAGAAATATTAACAAAAACCAACAAAACCAACAACCACATGATCAAGTGAATTGCAGCGGAATAGCTGCGCTTGATTGTAGTTGGCGTAGCAAAGTGAAATAGTGGAAAATAAGCAACAAGAATTAACAAGACAAACTTAGCACAGTGCGTAGGCAACTGGCTGAGTCAGTGGTGATCGTCGGTTCGAATCCTACTGAAAGAAGTCTGATGAGGAAATGTGGTGATTTCCGAAATAGCTATCACTTCTACCATTTTTTCAAATTATTGTTGCTTTTCCACAATAAGTTTTCACTTGAAACGGCCTCAAGCTCATAAAAATTGTTGAATATAATTGTTATAAGGCCATAAAAATAACAAAAATAAAATAACCTACGAATGTAAAAATTAGCAAAAAAAAGTGTTTGCTCTTTATTTAAAGTCTGTTTAAAATATAAAAAAAAAATACTCAGGAAAATCAACTTGTCTTTGTTTTATCTCTAATAATTGAGGAGTTAGATGGAATGAGTTAGATGAACAGAAGCTGCTTCGGTTAAAGTTGCTTTCTGAGATATTGGCGTTAAAGTTTTTGATGTGTTATAACTTTCTTGTTCTTGTAGTATTGGAAAGAGTTGTCTACTGCGGAATCGTTAGATTACCAATATTCTACCCTAATTTAACTGTAATAAACGCTTTCGATCCAAAAATATATTACATATGTTTTTTTCTGAATTACGCTCTTTTTGGAAAAATAAAGGAGATCATATTCCTGTCCAGTGGCCCAAATTATGCAAAAAAAACTCCTTTAAAAAGTAATTTTCATTTCGTAAAATTGTGTTTTTAAACGAGTTCCTTCAAACGATGTATTTTAATGTACATACATACATCATGAAAATTTTGTAAAAAATTCCTTAGCGCGGAACGTCGCCGCCGCCGCACACTGTGTCCACTGCGGCAATAAATCAATTTGGACCTGCTCTCCGATTTTGATTATTTTTGCACAGATGGTTAAAAAGTATCTAAAGGTCATGTGTGGAAAATTTCATGCAAATATCTCCATTGGTTTTCTGTCCCGAGCACCTCAAAGTTGAAGTATGTGAACAAGTTTTCTATGTCATATTCAAAAGCTTGATACTTATAAACTATACACCGAATGTACCTTATAAGTATTTTTTCACTTAAAATAGACATACGCATTATGTAAATTAAAAAAAAAAAATTGAAAAAAAATTCCTTTGACAATATATTTTGAGCCAAAAAAATAAACATTTATGATTTTCCGTAAGACTTTTAGTTGTGTGCGAAGCAGTGCGACACATGGAGTCCTATACCAAATTAAAGCTGAGAGTCTCAGCTAACAGACTAAAAAAAAAAAACCTGCCCCAATTTGCCTGCCGCCGAAAAAACAATGAAAGCCCAAAAAATTACAGTAAAAAATATGCGTTATGTGTTATTTTACGCGTGCAAAAACAAGTGCGCATTCTTTCTTTCTTTGCTACTCGTTTATTTGCTACATATTATAAACAACATTAAATGTAAAATAATGTGTACGGTTATAATAACAACAAAACGTTTGTTTTAAAGTCTCTAAATGATGCTAACACACAATAAGTCATTGCCCTCTGCACTTCGTTACTCTAATATAATAATAATTTCTATCAAAGCAATATCGGTACCATAGTGTATTAATACAGTGGCCGCAGGGCGTGTTGTTGTAAAAAGTGGCCGCAGGGCGTGTTGTTGTAAAACAGAGGCGATTTTTACAACAACTTGTTGGTAATTTTCATATAGAAGAAAACAAATGAAAGCAGGCCACAATTCAAAAAAGACTTAAATTTGTATTGGGAATAAATGTTGATGTGGTTAAACAAGGAATGGGTTCCAGCAACAATGGGAATACAGCTCGACGATTGTTTGAAAACCCTCAAATTACAGCTGACATAACAGGAGTAAATGAGCAACTGATTCATCGGTTCAAAATTATATTATCCACAATAACTTGCAGTCAGGCAATAGACGCTGAGAAATTCCAAATATATTGTATAGACACGGCAAAATTGTGCATTGATTTGTATGGATGGTACTACATGCCCATCACAGTGCATAAAGTTTTGATACATGGTAGCAAAATTGTATCTGAGGCCATTCTACCTATAGGTAGGTTAAATATACAATTTGTTTCATACATTTTAAATTAACATATGGTTTATTTTTCAAAGGAATGTTATCAGAAGAAGCGCAGGAAGCGAGGAACAAAGATTATAGACGTTATAGGCTATATCACTCGCGCAAGACTGGGCGCTCTTCTACTAACGAAGACGTAATGCATCATTTGTTGATATCCTCCGACCCATACATCAATTCATTTAGAACGAAATTGAAGCTTAAAAAATTAGATTATCACGAAGATGTGAAAAAGTTGTTAATGAAATAGAGTGAAACTGTAAAAATTTTTGTATTGGAGTTGTATGGGGGGTGGGTGTTACAGTGGGCGGATTTTCTTCATATTTGCAAAACAGCATTTAATAGATGTTATATGCATTTTTGCGAAAAATATACATTCTAGTTACAAATTTACAGAAGATATGGCATTTTTGAAATATCATTTGTATGGGAGGTGGGCGTAAAAATTGGCGGATTAAGTTCATATTTTCAGGAGCACATTCTACAATTATAATATTAATGTGTTATGAAAATTGAGTTGATATATTTAAAATCATGGAAGTTATGCCACATTTTCTATTTAAGTTGTATGGGAGGTGGGCGTAAAAGTGGGCGTATTTTTGTAAAAAAACAATTAAAATTCTTAAAAAATTTAAAATAAATTTGTGCAAGATTTCATGAAGCTCCGCAACCTCCTTGATTTATAGCCATTAAATACACTACACGGCCACTGTGTGCGCCGCCGCGCCGATATTTTCTTAGCTCAGCGGCGGCGCGTGAGGAATGACAAAAATCGGCGGCGGCGGCGGCGTGGCTCGGCGGCGTATACCTCTAGTTCACACTTGTCTTTCTTAATTTGTCTTGAAATTTTTTGTTAAATTTATTTTCTTCACATTAGTTTGTTTATATAAGTAACAATGTGAGTGGACTGCCAAACCAACAGTGATGGTTACTTAAAAACCAATTCCAGAATGAAATGCGAGCTTTTTTCTTGAGCTTTGTCTAATTTTGCGAGTGTCGGAGAGAGCTTAAGCATCTCTACGAAGAGCTACTCCATTACAAGAATAATAGAATACAAGACTGTACACTACCGACGGCCACGACATTTCTTAAGTAAAAGTAAACAAAGCCGGATTGGGGAATAAAAGAAACTTTCAAACCGTCAATTATCCTTATATTCAATCTTTCGATAGGATAAAGAGGTTTAATTGTTTTAAAATGTAAAAATATATCGTCGATGTTTTTGCAAAACCGCCCATCGCCCAATTGCAAAACCGCCTATCTAACAGCACTCAAATTTTACAGGAGAGCGAAAAAACGCTTTATTCTTTGAATACATTGCCTTGATAGGCGGTATTTTCTCTTAACTATTATTTTACAAATATGTTCTTTTAATAACGATTTAACGAATTGTTGGTTCTCGGGCTGTTGAGACCCAGAGCGAGTAATATTTGCTTCTCTCTAGCCCGATGTCGGCCGGACTATTTTTCCGGGCGAGTTTATGAACATTGTCAAACTGCCAGAAGAGGAAAAATTTTAAACATTCAAATTATAGCTAAGTCAATTTTTCTGGATAAAACCTGTAAAACTTTCAAAAAGCAAAATTGCTCTCAGAGAAAGAGAGCAAACCCAAAATGTACGGGAACGCTTTTCGGGTAAAAACTGGTAAAAGTGCCAAATACACCATGGAAGCCATTTTTTGTTAACATAGCAGTTTTTTTATCATTTGGCGATCTGCTAAATTATACGCAAATACACAAGCAAATTAACAAAAATAGTTACAAAACTTGATATTTCTTCGATACGATATATTAATTAAGGTGAAAATGCAGAAGTACTTTGTTTTTGCTTACTCAACTTTCAATTCGTTTGAACAGCTGATGGTTTGACACTTTACCAGATTTTACCAGCCAAAATTATTCGGGTAGAATCTTGCAACTTCTGACAAAGAGGGGACCGATTTTACTCTCCCATTTTTCCCCTACTTTGCCAGAGAACCGAGTACGGGAACGTTTTCTGCTAAACTCCTGTAAATTCTTGCAACTTCTTGCCATTTAGGGAACCCATCTAATATGTGCATACTTAGCTGTTGAAACATATCAAATGAACCATTAGTTTAACGTTATTGCGCTTGCTGCCGCTCAAATCTTAAATTTATAATTTTGGGCGATTTGACACTTTAAGCCTTTCCGTATGAAATTGCTGTTGCAAGAGAGAGAGAGACGCAACGACAACGTCACCGTAATGTTTTCGTTAACTAGAGAATCTCTTAAGATAGGTCGTATCAGCTGACACGGTCTACGGTTTTACGTCGGTGGCTGGTTGTGCTCTTAGTTTCGGGCCCGAAAATGGGTTTTTGCGTTCCCGTGGTGTTGGGCAGTTTATTCAATTTTGTGAGAGCATTTCGTATTTCATAATGTAAAAAACAAACCTAATGTTAGGAAAAAAGGTTAGGCAAATTACATACACAATATCGTCACCCGTATGCCAGAAACATGAAAAATGTGTAAAAATTAAAATTTTAGGAAGTGAAGTTTGAAAGTATTATTTTACTAGAGTTAACTCTATGTTGATGCAATTGAAATTGTAATATATGTATTTGATTTCCGTGTACGCATGGTATAATGGGTTTTGGTATAACATAGAACATCCATAGGTTAATCTAGTCCAGGCCTTCCCAAAGTGGGTGACGCGGCACCCAGAGCGTATGCCTGGGGTGCCGCTAGTGGCTAGACTATACTAGTGGTGCGGGCAAATTCTATAGACTTTCCATACACAACGCAAGCGGTTTGATCAAACTTCAACATGGCGGCCAGAAAATCAAAAAATTTGGATTTTTATTAAAATTACCTTCAGCGGCTCGTCAAACCCCATACACAACACAAATAGCTTGCAGCAAAGGGATATTTCGCTCTAAAGCGTAGTTCTCCAGTACGTTGTGTCAACGTAAAATTGAATCACAAAATTTTCAGAAAAGTAGCCGAAAACGTACCCTTTTCACAACCACTTTCGGTACTTTTGTAGACCTAATCTGCGGCAGTCTTCTCGTGTTAGTGAGGAACCCATTCGCGATGCAAATCGAAGACGAAAATTCTAAAGCTATCGACAAATTTGTACAGAACAATGGTTTGAAATGGAGCGAGTGTGCGGATATTTGCGGTGGTTGGAAAAACGAAAGGAGCGATGTATATGATGAAGCAAGAGGCAGAAAACGCCACGAGAAGTCACTGTATGATCCCTCGGTATTCCCTGGCGACTAGAAAGATGTCGCCACTAGGTTTAAAACCCGTATTGGATGACGCTGCGATGATAGCAGAGGCCTGAGAAGTTAAAATACATCTCTGGTTTCTCTAGCACGTCGAGATTTTTTTTATTGGTGACATGTATATTTTAGAATTTCTAGTAATTTGCATGCAAACCCCATAAATAAACAAAGTAATCAGAAAAACGTATGTAACTTCGAAGTTAACGCTTAGAAAATTGATAACAGCCGGTTTCACTAGCAATTTCCATATAAAATTAAAAAAATTAAAATCATTTATCACTTAAATTGCTTTCGTGAAATTGGATGTAAAAATTATTTTCTTAGCGTTAACGCGCATTACCAGCGTTAACTGGGAAGGTTCAGAAAAAGCCATTGTCGAATATTTTCCCAACACTGACTCTGAGGATGGCTTCAGCTGGATAACAAACCCGTTTTCATGTGGCCCGAAAAGTAAACCTACTGAGATGACCAATTAAGCTTTTGAAAGCCTTCTGGACATCAGTGAAGACAGCATTTTGATTATTAAATACTACGAAGGGAGCCAAGAGAGTTCTGGATGCAAGTGTATGCAGAAAACACTGCTGTTGGCAGGATTGCATTAAAAATACTAGTGACTTTTAGGCCCTTATTATGAGTTGCATTCGATTTTCGATCTTCGCTGGTTATCGAAGATCGAACATCAAAAGTGAAATTATGAGCTATGCAACCGCGTCGTTGAGTATCGAATTTTCTGTCGAACAGAATTTTGCTTTCGATGGCGTAGCGAAGTGTTAGAAAATTGTGAACAATGTATGATTTTGCATTTGTTTTTTTACTTTATGGCGGCTAGACACTAATTTTTAACAATTTTTATTAATTTCATGCAGTTCTAATGTCGTGAATATTAAACACACGCTCGAAAGGCTTGTTTTACTTGTAAAAGAAAACCCAATCCTCAATTGGCACGTTCTCTGAGAAAAAAGTCGTAAGCTGTTGATAGTTTTAAAATATATTAAATCGATTTGGCTCACAAACGTCTCTTTAGACAGTCGGAAGTTTTTAATAAACAAATTTTTTAAATATATTTTATGTCAAAATATATTCGAAAGACTACACTTAAACCCCCTTAAACGTTTTCTACTCCTGGGCAGTTAACTAAGCTCTCTCCTCTGATGAATCGTTGAACCAGAACTGCGTTGTACTCATTTTTACCACGTTTTTATAAACTCTTTCTTGTTTCTTTTTTATTTCATTTTAATTTGCACAAATTTGCATACATATTTATAAGCACACCATTTAGTTTGCTCGATTTGTAAACAAAACTTCTCAGCGGTGAAAAATATACTATTGTAAACAATCTAACCGAGCGAAATTCACAATAGCGCTATTCTTCATCGAATGAGCGTCATAATACCAAATGAAAATTCGTTCGATCAGCACTTTCGACCACAGTCGAATGCAACTCAACATAGGGCCCTTACTTTTACATTTCTATGTGAGACCGCATTTTCAACTAATGCTTACATAAACAAGTAATTTTTAAGAAAAAAAAAAACGATTTCAATTCCCATCTACGAATTTAAGATTATCGTTAATTTATTCGTGATCCAATGATCGGATTTAAACCAAATTAGACCACCTGTCACCTGTTTCCTTTAAAAAAGAATTATAGTAATCGGTTAAGGTGGTCCAAAGTTATGCGGTAACATACATAGAAAAAATAATAATAATATTCCGACGAATTGATAACCTTACCCTTTTTGTGAAGTCGGTTAAAAACAAATACACCAGCAAGCTTTCAGCGTCAAATGATTTCAGGCTAAAATTGTCAAACCTCCCAATAAACTTAAAGGAAATAATGAAATCATCAAAACAATTTCAGTCCTCACATTAAATCTGAAGGAGCATAAAAGTTACATTGTGTTTTCTTGTTTTCGTAGACATTTGAAGAGTAGGGGTGCCGCAAAATTTTTTTAGCACAACAAGGGTGCCGAGGTGAAAAAAGTTTGGAAACCCCTGATCTATTCAACC